AAAATCATTAAAAGCGATTGCATATGTTCATAGGGTTCACCTTATTGTTGGTCTTACATCCATAACTTACTTTTTGCAGTATAGCTTTGTAATGTTAACTTGTTATTCCTGTGTATATCTGTTATAACAAAAACTTTAAGTTTATAGAAAATCTATCGAAATTTTATATGATTATAAAAAATCTTAATCAAAGATGCTTATGCTAATATATTTAAGAGAATAAAGCAAACTCAACAAGCTGGACAGAGCGCACTCTTACTACAATTTTAGTTAATAAGGAACTATTAGGTACTTAAAGTCTACATTAACAATAAATATTGAAATAAATATATTTGGTAATCTACATAATCCTAATATATTCTTAATAATCAAATAATAAAAGTGGTTAGTAAAATTGCTGATTTTTTTACATGGCTCATCATTAGTGTCATATTATTGTAATATGCATGTTATACATATTATTTATAATAATGATCTTTGATATGTTTCTTTTAAATTATAAGTTAAATAATTTTGAATAAAATTGCGTTCTACCACATCTATATTTAAGTAAAATTAATTGATAAGCCAATTATAAGTTGGCAATTGAGCAGAGATATATATCTTGGTCTGCAAATGCTAACAATAATTTGACCAATTATTTATCACAGTTTAATTATTGTTTAATTTTCGTAAGGTAAGTGATAATAAGTTAAATAACTAGATAAGTTTAGTATGTTGTAGTAATAAAAAAATGCTAAAATAAATATAATTGCTAAAATAAATATTAAATCGATGTGCAATTGAACACAGTACTAATATGTGTAAAGAGCGCGAATTATAAAATGATTAGTAGAATTGCTGAATTTTTGACATCATTAGTATTATAATATTGTAATTCAGTTATGTCAATTACACGTATATCCATTATAGTGAAGATTGGCATAAATAATTAGATATTATGTATTAAGTTATATTATATTTTATAATAATATGCATATGTGTCAGTTTTTTTTGTACAAGCAATAATCTATAATATGTTTTCTCCAATAATGAGTTATATTATTTAGATTCACTTTCTTTTGCATCAATATTAATGTATTAATTGATTCACAAGCTACTCTAATTATTAACAATACTAATACCAAGTTGGCAATTAAGCAGATATATATTCCTTGGTCTGCAAATGCTAATAATAATTTAACCATTTATTTATCCAAGTTTAATCGTTCTTTAACTTCCCGTAAGATGAATATAGTAATCCAAAATTCCAAGAATCAAACATTTGCATATATTATACTTTAAAACCGCATACAAAATAGATGTGTGTTTGTGCGTATATGTGTGTGATTGTGTGTGTATATACAGATAAAAATTTTTGTCCACGTTTTCGAGAGCACGAATCTACCGAATTGAATAATGATTCAAATACATTCGATTTGTATTGACGGAGATACGTGCTGATTAGTTTTTACAAATCCTGCCGGTTTCGAGATGCGGGGTAAAAAGTGCAAAAGATAGGAATTCAGTTTTCGAGAGAACAAAGCATCTGACTACGTTAATTAAAAAGTCATTTGAATCGTATTGACGGCAAGACATATTGATTGGTTTTTGGCAAAGACAGATCCACCCTTTGGGAGATAAAAAGCAAAAGTGAAAAAAATTGAAGTTTTTGAAAAAACTAATCATATGATTGAATTATTTCCAAAAACATTTTGTTTGTGTTGACAATGTTAAGAAACGTGGGGAATTTTGTTTTATATCAAAATTTCAAAACCATTTTTTAATTTACAAATAAAAAATGTGTTCAATATCGAGAACGTTTCGGATTTTTTTTCTACAGTTCCAACATTTTTTTTATTTATTTATTTAGCAATATATATTTTTTCATATCTCAGTCAGGTGGAGGTGCCTGGTATAAGAGAATATGAATTGCTTTATACATTTATACATAATCTATATCTCATATATAAAATTCTTCTGTATCATATGAAAGGATACTCCTCTTAAACGATTTTTCGGATTTTGATAAATCTTTCTGAAGTTTGTTATGAGATTTTTTGGAATTTTTTGAATTGTAGAAATGTAGTTAGATTGTAAAAATGAATGGAAAAAAATTGGACATTGACAATATTTGAGGTATTACATGGCATTGAAAACAAATGAAGACTGACATCTGTCAAAAATTTCAATTTACTTGTAATATTACCTAGACAATAATTCTAATATGATAAAATCATCATTATGAATAAATGTCTACATTGTTATTACCAAAAAGCAGCTGAGAGTAAATTTTTGGCTAATGAAATGATATATTCCAGTTTGACAGATTATTATTTTTAACTAATGCATGTTGTGTTTTGCCATACTTTACTAAATTATTTCACATTACAAAAAAAGTTACTTACTCAACAAATTATTTATAAGTTTCACTGTGTCAAAAATTCATTTGTTTTGCATTGAATATGGAATATTTACTCCAGTCAATATAACGTTTTGGGTCTAATTTTTTTACGTTGCTCCAATTTGCATGAAATTTTGGAGACGCCACCTCTCGCAGACACTCCTTCTCAGTGTTGTAGTTTTATTTTTTCAAAATAACGTCATATATTGATAAAGAACTAATTAGAAGAAAAATATGTTTCATCTTTTTCTAAAATGCAAAAGGTTTTCACGTTACTGGCTACTCAAAATTTGTTTCTTTTTGTCGTTTTTCGTCGTTTCTTAACGTCCCGTATGGTAGTTATAGTAATGGGCCAAAAATCTAAAATGAAAATTTTTGCATTCCTCGACGTGTTGAAAGTTTCTGAACATTTTGGCATACTTCAGAAAAATAGATGTGTGTGTATGTTTCGTGTGTCCGCATTTTTTCGTTCACGCTTTCGTGCGCACGGAGCAACAGTTTTAAATGGTTCAAAAAACATTCGATTCCTATTGATAAGGAGATGTACTGATTAGTTTTTGGCAAAGGCAGGTCCACCCGTTGCGGAAATAAGGAGCAATGAGTGCAGAAAAAAGAAATCGAGCTTTTGAGAGAACGGAGCATCCGATTTGAATTATCTAAAAAAATTCAATTTGTAATGATTGGGAGAAGAGGTGATTAATTTTCAACAAAGGCAAAAATTGTCAGTTTTTGAGAGAACTAAGGGTCCGATTTGATTGATTTAAAGAATTTTCTGCTTGTGTTGAAAAACAATTGCTTTTGAGAAAAAAGTATCATTTTTTATATTGAGAATAATTCAGATTTCAATTTTAATTCTGGCTAAAGTTTTAAAGTTCTCTTATATACTTTGAATGAATAATATAATTTAAGTTATAATATTAATATATTATTAATAATTAATATATATTATTAATTAATATTAATATATAAGTTTATATAATTCTTATAAATAAATATTAGACAAATGTTACAGTATTTAGAATAATCTATTTGAAAACATTTAATATTCCTCGAACATTTCGTTACGGTACGGAAAGTGCCAGCAATTTGCCTTAAAGCACATTGCCATACACCACTAGTGGGCAAATATCTTTAACAATATACATTTTAACATAAATCATGTAATGAACAAAATTATATGAATTAAAATCTTAATAAATCGGTGTTTTACAAAGTGTTCTAAGATATGAAAATGAGGTTTTGTAGTGCTCAAAATGAGCTTTAAAATGAGTACCTCTGCGTGTAAAATGAGTGAGCTATCATGCGAATAAAAGATGCATACTATGTTTTTTTCATTAAAATCAAATAGTTTATTAGTGCCATTTCCACCAAAATTAAAAATAATCGTATTGCATCTAGATCTTGATGGATTCCAGAAAATATCACAACTTTCATAAAAAAATCCATTTAAAAAAACAACCAATTTCTCATTATTATATCTCTGAAAAAATAAAAGATACGTATAAAAATATGTAGATTAAAATTCAAGATCTTTTTCTAACAAATTATTGCTTTTTATTATTTTTTTGTTACACAAATATTGATAGAGTTTATGATTGGTTAAAGAGTGCGCGGCTGTCCAACCAGAGTGTCTTTCGAGCCTTTTAACCCTTCGCCGTATCAAAATAAAAGAGATTACAGTAAAATTTATGATAGAGAAAGTTGTAGCTCATTTAGTTACCTTTAAAATAGTATATTTCAATTTCTGATAAAATTAGAATTAAAAGAGTTGTAATCCAGTTAATGCGAGGGGTGGTGACGGAGTGCAAGTTGTTTTCACTCCTGAACTTAAGATTAAGATTAGCCTATTTCCAAAGTATCAAGCAAATTGGAGCACAATAAAAAAATCACAAGGCACACGCATTGTTCCTCTCCATTTACTGCAATAATTTTGTTGATCGTAGGTTGAATAGAGCACATGTAAACAGGATTTGACAAATGAATTCACTTCAAATATAAACTTATGTAATAATGTATAGTGAGAAAAATGTAATTTAGATATTAAAATTACTAAGAGCCAGTTAAAATATAGTACGAAATTATAAAAATTATAGGCTACATTATTGAAACCGGAGACTTCAATTTTCAACACGTCTATTTTTTCTATGACCATAAGTCACAAAAGCAGACGATGATTTTTTGTGTGATAAATTTGGAATATCAATGTTTTAGTCAGGAATAAACAAAAAATCATTCATTCATACATCCACATCTACATGTAGGACTAAAAATATTGTATAACCTTTGGCATTAAAATAAATTGAGCTATTTGAGATAAATTTGTTCTACAAATTGCAGAGTATAAATTTTGATATACAATTTTATTGAACATATTTTAATATGTGTTAAAGGGATAATTAAAGTGTTAACTGTGGAAATTGAGAATTATCATTTTATTTGAAGCAGTTCTACATTTAACATCACTAATGTAAATAGTAATTCGAAAAACAATAACTATTATTTTTAACTGAACGGGAAATATTAGTATAGGATATTAAAAAACGTAGATGTGGGTACAGGACAACATCTGTCGGGCCATCTAGTATGTATATATATAATTTAAACCACAAAACCTTACCCTCAATATGCGATAGGGGCTGTCCTTCAACATGCACACTTCTCCATCGGTATTTAATTGAAGTTCGTCGGTCAAAGGTTCCGCGGCCACAACACCGCCATTTGGAACATCCAAAAGTCGAACATTCGCACCTGCAACAGAGCCTGGACTACGAGCGCGTAAAGCTCGCAGAACCCAATTCTGAAAGCAGACATAAACATATCACATATGTAAAATTCTTCGGTACGGATGTATGAAATGATACACCTCCTAAACGAATATTCTTACAGCTTGATAATAATCTGTTTAGCGCTTGATAATTAAACATGAACAAAATCCTTTAATTATAAAAATAAGTAACCAAACAATAAATTCATTAATTTATTCACATACTTTATATTCTCAAATAAAAGTGGACTAAATTAGAGTCTGACAATTTAAAAACACATGGATAAAGGGTTCGCACAAGATTTACAGTGGAAGAGAAAAAATCTTGATTTAAAATAGTTTTTGAAATAATTGTTGATATTATGATATGTTTCATGCACTAAAGAGAAATAATTTCATTTAAATACAAATATATTTTTATCAGATAGGAAAATCTTAGATCACAATTCTATCTGGATACAAGATAATTGGTATTGGTTAGTTTATATTGATGCTGTGTTCCAAAAACATATATTAGCTTCCCGTAGGGTAAGTTATTGTAATGGGCCGAAAATCGGAATTGAAAATTTTTACATTTCTCGACGTTTTGAAGGTTTCTGAACATTTTGGCATACCTCAGAAAAAATGGATGTGTGTGTGTGTGTATGTGTGTGTGTGTGTATGTATGTGTGGATACAAATTTCCAGTCACGTTTTAGGGCGCACGGATCAACCGATTTGAATGGTTAAAAAAACTTTCGATTCATATTGATAGGGAAAAGAGCTGATTAGTTTTTGGCAAAGGCAGGTCCAGCCGTTTCGGAGATACGGAGCAAAGAGTGCGGAAAATAGAAATCGAATTTTTGAGAGAACGGAGTATCCGATTTGAATGATCTAAAAAACATTCAATTAGTAATGATTGGGAGAAGTGTTTATTAGTTTTTGGCAAAGGCAGGCCCAGCCATTTCGAAGATACGGAGCTAAATATGTAAAAAATGGCAGTTTTTGAGAGAACTAAGCGTCCGATTTGAATGATTCAAAAAACTTTCTGCTTGTCTTAACAAAATAATTGATTTTGGAAAAAAAAATTTTTGTCCCATTTTTTTTTTTTTAGTTTTTTGTTGAAACAAATAATTTCAACTTTGCAATTCAGTTTATATAATTCTTATAAATATTAGACAATGTTACAATATTTATAATAATCTATTTGAAAATATTCAGTATTCCTCGAACGTTTCGTTACGGTACGGGAAGTTCCAGCAATTTGCCTTAAGGCACGATGCCACCCACCCCACTAGTTTGACTATATTTAAGTTTTTTTTTCAGATATGTTGATTCATCTTCCTGTAAATTTATTGGTTACATTTCTCAATGTAATAACAATTTAAGACAATTTAGTTTACTTTGAAAATAATATCGGTAATTCGTTCATTTTGAAAATAAAATTTATAAAACTGTGAAAAGAGAAACTAACTAAGAACCAAACATATTTTCAATCATAATTAAGCACTAAGACTTCGCCTGACCGTCGTGCGATAAAAAACTAATAAAGTATAGTGAGCTAGTGATTGTTTATATTTAATGACGTCAAAGATCAACGCAGGCCATTGCGGGAGTCCGCCAGGGGTTTGGTTGAAATTTGTTTGAACTTAAAACATTGGCATAAGTAATTAATACCATTTATTCAACAGAAGAATTTAATAGAATGGATTGTATCGTATACAAAAATACAATTCAAGTAGAAAATAATTCTACTAAGACTAACCATCCTAGAATTAAAGATTGTGTCTTCAATAAAAAATATTACTTCGGACCTGACAACAGTGGCGCAAATAAAGCATCGCCCAGTTGTAGCATTATTAATAAGAGGCAAGTAGTACGCAATACAATAAAACGTAAAATTAGTGGTGATAAAGTGTCTAACAATCATATCATATTATCAAACAAATTAAGTACTTTGAGTAATGAAACTCGCAATAGTGTAAACACATCTGAACGCGCTAACACAAAGTTGATAAAACCTTAGCTGGTATTTTTAAAATTTGATCAATTTCTATCAAAAATTCTAATTAAATATGGTTAAAATTAATGTTGATAATGTTGATCTCTATAGGATACATATCAAACATTTGCAGAGTACAAATATTGTGTATCACACCTTCCAACTGAGTAATGATAGGGCATGCATAATCGTACTGAAGAATATATGTACATTTTACGATTGATTCGAGCGATTTAAAAGGTTTAAAAATACCCCGCAGTGTCATTGTTGCCATTCGTATGGGCTATTCCGAGGATACTGCAATCTTTCATATGCTTGTCTGAAGTGCGGTGATGCTTATACTACATCAGTATGTGAGAAACAAAAGAATACTTCAGCCTGGCAAAAACAAAAACACTGTTAGTCATAATTCATTATGTCAACATTTCCTAATAACTCACAGCATTTGATCTACTCTCGTCTTATAAATTAACAAACCAATAATAACAATATTTTCATCTTTTACCTTCATAAATAATAAATTTAAAGATATGATAAACCAAATAACTTAACAGAACACTATGATATTGAACATAGCATAATTAATTGTTAGTAAAATTAAATAATGGCTAACATACTTACGATAGTAATATGGAATGCCAATGGCATTCACCAACAAGGAAACGAACAAAAAATATTTTAAATAATTTTCTAATTGGTAATTAGTGACTCACATCTGCAAATAAGGCAGAATTCAACATATTTAACTACACAACGTATCACATTGGCCGATTTTGTAATTATCAAAGGTATAAGAATTTCAACATTTCAATCACAACCTGCTATGATCTATCCTCAGATCATACTCTAGTATTAGTATCTGTTGGATTTAATGCTATTGAATATTCCGCAACGTATCACTTATTCAGTGGATATACTAACTGGAACCTGTACAGAAACTACTTATCACAAAAATTAGACTTGAGTATACGACTGCAAACAACTACAGAAATAGACAAAAATATAGAAAATTTGACTGGAATGCTCAAATATGCGGTAAGATTCTCAACTCCCATCATTGAGCGCGAAACTAATGTTTTCTATAGCTGAAAAATCAAAAAGCTTATAAAAATAAGAAAACTGTGACAGATATAGCATCAGCCGAAAACGACAACTCTGTTCAACAATTTAACCGGCAAGCTCAAATATAAACAAAGATAATTTAACCAAGAAAACAATGATAAATACATGTCTTATTTAAATTCAAGTGATAACACTATCTGGCGTGCTGAAGGAGCGACAGAAAAGTGAATACTGTAAACAACACTATCAAAGTAGCAACTTCAAAATAATTCCTTTGGGCCAGAAAAAACACGGAGAAAACTCAAAGAACCACGGTCTACTTCAGAACGGAATTCAAACCAAACGATGGCGATGACTGCTCTAATTCTTATAACTTAATTAGAACTCAACTTTTACATATTACTACATTACTCTATGTTCCTAAGTTTACACCAGGTCAACTTTATGCTGTCAAAAATTGCGGCTTTTGGTATAGATTTGGTCACAGCAAAAATGGTAAAAGAGTTGCCTAAAAAGAGATACGCTCTGTTAACTTTTACTCTCAGATATATCTAACCATTACAATATATTCCGAGATCATGCGTTTGGATTTAGACCTTTACATCTCGATACAGCAATGCCACTGGATATTGAACTGGATAAACGAGAAATATGAAGACGTGAATACTGCACAGCAGCTTTCCTGGACGTGAAACAAGTCTTTGACAAGGTATTGCATGATGGATTACATTATGAAATCTAGCAATTAGTTTCTGAGGATTATACATTATTGAACACCTACCTAGAAAAAAGCAGTTTAGAACGAAAGTAGGTACAGAAGGTAGGTGGGATCTGAAGTGGAGAATTAAAATTAACGAATTGAAATCCAATCAAACCAATTTAATCTTAAAGATGGAAAAATATCCTCCAGTAAAAATAAATAATAAAGTAGTTTCAAAATCAGATGCAGTTTAGTATCTAAGATTATACTTGAACAAGAAATTAAATTGTATTTTGCATATCAGCGAGAAATGTAAACAAATAGAGAAAATAGTTAAATCCCTTTATTGGTTACTCGATGCAAAATCCAAATTGTCAATTTAGTCAGAAGACAAAAGAAAAACAGACAATTGATTTAATTTATTTCATCGTATTAGATACTCTCACTGCAGAGTATCTAAACTCGAAATATGACTATTTTTACTTTATTTGTACCAAACTTAAATATAGCATTTGAATTATGTACATCTCAATATCTTATATAAATGTTAATTGTTCTGATTGTTATTTTGAAAGTTGTAGTATTACAAATTATTTAGACACTGGCGAAATTGTATACTTACTCTAAATTTGAGTTTTGATTCTGTCTGGCGAATTTCATCGCTATCCACCGGACGAATACTCGGCACTACAAATAATGCCATTTACAAATTGCACCACAACGAAATAGCTGAAAAAATTAAGAAAATATAAATATACATATGATTACGCAAAACCAAACTCTAACAAATATTATGATTTTTTCTTTTTCTTAATTCCCACACAGTGAAGAAGTATCAATTCTCTTATTTATACTATTTTTATGAAAATCTATGAAGCATGATTCTGAAAAGCGTCTCTGTGATGTATTCGACTCGTGATATAAAATTGTAGCAACATCAAAATTGAAAATATGATTGAAACTTTGGATGTGGCCAGTTATCATCGTTTGATTTTGATTTTTATTTTTAGAGTTGTTATAATGTTGTCCAAGACGTTTTTCTAGATGTTGTCCAGTTTCGCCAACATAAGTGGCCTCACAATTTGTACAGTCATTTTTATACACGATGTTAGAAGTACGATCTAAACTTGTCGGTGATTTTAGGTTCGAAAATAAAATGTTTAAAGTCTGATCAAAGTTGAAAACCAAACGCAAAACGGAAAATTTGTGAAAATGCCCCCTTTTTTCAAGATCGTTTTTTGTTGCAACTGTAAAAGATATCGACAAACGAATAACGGGATTCTATTCACAT